TCCGGGGCCCGGAGAGTTGAGGTTAGTAGCTTGATAATCTCACTTAATTCCAGCTCGCGACCATCAAGCAGTTTTTGCGACCTCCTAAACGCCACCTTGATTTCCTCCAGAATGCGTTTGAGGCCGCCCACCACTTGCTTGAGAACAGCACCTAGCATGTAGACCGTGGACTGCTCTTTTCGCGCTTGGAAATCGCAGTACAGACATGCTACAGCGACCGGTTTTCCGTAACTTTGATTGCATAATGTTTCGATAACTAGTGAGCTGTACAACGTACCATCACTTAGCCCCCCAACTTTTCGAAGAAAATCCTGTGAGATATACCTAAGATGAGTCTTCCCAGCCCCAGGATCTCCATAGCCAAACAAGATAGGGCTAGCCACCCCGTCCTCACTAGTATTCCATGTTTTAAACTCTTCTGTTTGCAAGAGCCCTTCGTTTACCCCTTCTACATGGGATCTTCTAACATCTCGATGTCTTTGCCGAGGGGCCAACAGAGACAGCCATTCCAGAATCTGACGCCTCTCCTCCGTTACCGATATGTCGCAATCATTCCAGGTGTTGTTATAGCTGTTCCTAACATTACCACAGTTGGTGTTACAGGACCCGAGCGAGCTCATGTTGCTCACCGTGTCGACAGAAGAGAGGAGACGGGCGGGGGTAACGATTTTGGTGATGGTATTTGTTTTGGTTAGGGGGAGGGAGGGCCCAACGAGTATTGCCTACGTGGGTTCTGGTGAGGCGCCGTACGGGATGCGGAGCACCACAATGTAGTGCTGGTTTGTAAGACCGAAGGCCTCTTGCTGTGAACGCAGGAGAAATTGGTTAATTCCAGTAGCTATCATACCAAAATGTGTGACAGCTAATACCTCTGATCTGTGTTATCAATAACGATGCTGGGTAGTGCTTTCAAAGGGGGGAGCAGGAGGGCTTTGGAGATCCCGAGACCCAAAGTTCCTTCTGGGGGAGAGGACAACATTCAGGTGCATATTGAGAGACTGCACAGTTTCGAAGTGGAAGTGAGCGGGGAAGGAGGAATTGAAGAGGGGAATGGAGTCGAAGTCATTGGCAAGTAAAATATGAAACCCACTTGTTAGGTTTCACGGTAAAATCTAATGTACAGCCACAATTGAAAGAGGTGGGGCAGCAGTTATAGCTCTATTAGAAGCTTTTCTAAATTACAAATTAGTTTTTATTTGCGTTTCTTCGGTCTCACCGCCTTTACCTCCTTGCTGATGCAGTCAATAAATGCACGATAGGCAATAGTTACCTCAGTTTGCTTCTTATCAGGATATGTTTCATCAAATCCGGATTTCTCTAAGGCCCCAACGAATGCGGCAAACAGGTTCGAAAACTTCCAAGTACTTTTTTTGAAATCGGAGGCAAGGACTCCGGCGTGAATATTTAAAACTTGAACTGTTTTATCGTTGCCTAAACAAGTTAGCCCTCTTATACTTTGAAACAAGGAAAAATAGTCGAGATTTCTTACTAATTTGATCTATCTTCTCTGGCAATAGTCCATACAATTTCTCGAAGACTTCCAGATCCATTCTGCCCCCAGCTTTTACATACAATGCAGCATCAGAACGGGCGTCGCCCCAGTGAACGGTAGCATTTCTTTCAGCAATTATTTTGCGATCTCTTTTGGTATCGGTTCCAAGGTAGTCTCTCTTATACACACTGATATAGCCGTCTCTCATTGACTGGTACGAGTCATCAGAACGTAGAAGGTATCGTAGGCGTTCCTCGTTACGGCTATCGGTTAAATCGCGTTCGACTTGCTGAATTTTCATTTGCTCATCGAGTTCGGCGATTTTCAGGTCTCGGATAGCAACCTCCTTGTCAAGACCGTCCAGACGCTGTGCGAGGCTTGCTAAATCGAGTCCACGTTGGTTTCCAACAAACAGATTATCGTTAACCTTGTTAACATGCAGTTCTTCGACTTTAAGAGCAGTGGCGAGAGATTTCTTAGCATCGAGCTTGAGGCTCTCCACTGTACCAATCGCCGATTTAGCCATCAAAATGGCATCGAATAACCCTGGTTCATCTCTTTCAACGTCCACCTTCCTGCTACATCCCCGGATCCTGATGGAGCCATACATAGTACGAAACTGGGTAACTCGGAAGGCTTCCCATACCCCTCGTGAGGCGACTAGAACCCTTTGCATGATGACCATATCACTGATTCTCTCGCATTATTGGATAGAAGCTGGTGGATGGAAGTGGGTAGGATCTGGAGATGGCGGGGTGTGTTTCAGAACCGAGCTTGAGGCTTGCGCAATGGCGGCTATAGAAGCAATTGGAGTTTTGGAGGCAAGCTTAGATGCTTGTTTGCCTTTCTTCGGAGGAGGAGAGGAGGATGATTTCTGCGAGAAGAGTGATGGCTGTGGGGAGAATGATGGCTGCGAGGAGGATGAGGGGGAGAGATGGAGGTAAAGGCCACCGTGGAGGTGATTGAGAAGAAGAGTGTGAGGATAAGTGTTGGATTGACGGGTGGATGGAACTGTGGGTAGGATCTGGAGATGGCGGGGTCTGTTTCAGAACCGAGCTTGAGGATTGCTCAATAGCGGCTATGGAAGCGATTGGAGTTTTGGAGGCAAGCTTGCCTTTCTTCGGAGGGGGAGAGGAGGATGATTTCTGCAAGAAGAGTGATGGCTGTGGGGAGAATGATGGCTGCGAGGAGGATGAGGGGGAGAGATGGAGGTAAAGGCCACCGTGGAGGTGATTGAGAAGAAGAGTGTGAGGATGAGTGTTGGATCGACGGATGTTTGCACAGTTTTCGAGAAATGTGCAGACTAGGCTGGGCATTTTTAGCACTTCTATCGGCTGAGTAAGGGCCGATCCCTCTAACGGGTGACGCACTGTCCATCCTCCCCACCGATAGAATTCCACAGGCTTGAGCTAAGCGAGCCAATAATAGGATACTGCTTACAGGTCGGTGGCAGCTATTCCGAAACGGGTGCCAACTCTTGGCGAGGAGGCACGAGTACCTACGCCTCGCTTAAAAAAGCCTCCCATGCAGCAAACCTGCTGAAGATATTTATCAGATGGAAAAGATAACAATAAAACAAAAGTATGGAATTTACCCTTTATGGAATTTACCCTTATGATCCCGTTCTTTTTTTTTTAAAAAAAAAACAGGTCTTGGGAAATAGAGTCGCTGTGATATTCAGAGCTCGGGTTGATGCGGTATCATCCCTGGGGTGCTGTTATCCAGGAACCTTTGTCCATACAGGTGTGTCATATGATACCTAAATGCACTATCGTATCGCCATTGCACTCGACCGTGAGATCACACTATGATATACGGAGTAAGTAGAGTGTTTCAAGCGAGACATAGCAACCAAACTTGGAAATAAGAGGGGAAAACAGCAATCCTGTCTCAAACCTCCGCCCTAGGATAGTATGCTCTACGAGAAAGTTTCATTATGATATATACAATCTCTGGGGTCAGCAGGCATCATTGACCCAATTAACAACCCGGTCTTAGAGAGCCACAAGTAGGCCCACATGATACCAGCCATCGGGACACCATTAACCACCTCTCCCACCTTTCCCCTCCCTTACTCCCCCCTCTATAAATAACGCGCTACCGCAAACTCCACTGCCCCGACTACTAGACTACATTGCCTTCTCGATCCCTCCACTCTCTGTTTGGTAACCCATACTCCTCCAGCCATAACTGTGCCCTCCCGGCTGCGAAACTGCTAATTGGGATAAAAGCAAAGTTATTCTCCGCGCATCTTATGTCGTTGGATAATCGCAATCTCCTTCCGTCCACGCTCTTAATGTCTGCTTGATTCGGTCGCCCCGATTTCGTCCTGTACTGTTCTGTAAGTAGGGAACTTATCCTTCTAGGAGGGTTATTGTGTTTGGGTGGTTTGTTGGTGAAACCCGCCTTAGAATACGGGCCAAGGGGGTGTCGTGGATAGATAGGTGGTTTTTTTACGGTCCGGTGCCTCTGGGTATTGTGCCGACCGGTGAGGAAGTTTGGCCATATTCGGAACGGTTTTTGCTCAGGCATTCAATGCTATAATATCCCGAGTGCTTAGAGGGCTCTGAGAGCTTTATGAATGCACTAGTAGTGATTCTTTCCCGGAATTCTGTATGTATGGAGTAGCATCAGCATTTACCCTCCTATAGAAATTGATTCAAGGATAGCACATCATCTGCTTCAAATCCTCCTTCCTCATTGTCTAGATCTATTAGCTGGAAAATTAAAAAACAGGGCGAGAGAAACAAAGGAAGAAAGGGTTCACCAGTGCCCTAAAGCTGACCACATCGGTATCCAAACATCACCATCGCCGGCATCATCGTGGCGGAAAAAACAGATTTCCTCATCAATGTTAATCAAGAACAACTCTCCCATTTTCACCTACCTTAAGCCTTCTATTCTTGCCCCCGTATCCCATCCCCCGACCCCCAGCAATCTCATGAAGCCCCCTCAAAGGTGGTCTACCGTGCACATTATGTACACCGGGGGATCGCATAACTGTGGATTGGATATTTAAGCGTTGATGGTACTCGTGGCCCGCGATTGGAGTTAACGGGAAGGGTATTTGATCTACTCAATGGTTCAGGGGTGTCAGGTGGATGGGGTGGGAAGAGCAAATACTTATCATTAATGAACATGCCCCCGATATTGCGAGATCTGCATCTGGCCGCTACAAGGACTGACCGGTTCTTCCTTTAGGGTTTGTCGCATTCTGGCAAGGAAGGCACCCGATCTTCGCGCCGGCCGCGGCGTCTTCGGGTTCCATGCTTGACCAGATTCGATGCGGATAGCCTCCAGCAGACTCGCCTAGTGAGTACGATACTGGAAGTGCTGGGTGTCGGCAAGCTAGTGGGTGGTCATATATAGACCTTGATTGGCCCTGTTGGCAGCGGACTGCTGCCCTTAGAAAATCAACGTTGGGCGTTCGGGTTTGTCATGGGGTTCCTATGCAGTGTCAGCACGAGGGCTCTTATCCGGTGGCAAATGTGAGTCGAGAGCACCTGTGTTGTGCCAGCTTCCTTGCCTTCCGCCTCCGTCCCTGCACCTGCTCACGGGTTTTCCTTCCTAACTCATCCTCAACAAGCTCTATTCCGGCAATTTTATTGTGCAGCGCGGAGACCTCTGCACTTGTATCACGCACAATCTTCTCGTTCTCCCCTCGAATCTCGGCTCCCGTGCTCGTAAAGATGTTGCAAGACCTTATTGATAAAATTTTGGCCACAGTCAATCCCTCTACTAGGGGTGGGAATGGGACAAACGCCTACACTTCCTGGGATACTCGATAAGTCCAGAAGGCGATCCCACGAGTGCAGATTTCTGTTGTGGCGCTGGGACTGAGTCCACTGAGAACGCTTGTCATGTGGTCGTCAGGCGGGTTGAGAACTGAGATCACGGCATCGCCCGGCTTGGGGAGTGCTGTGCTGCAGGCCGGACAGGTTTGCAGACCCTTCGGAGGAGGCTAGGTATGCTGAAGGGTAGCGGGACATGGGAGGGAGTAAATGTGACTGGAAAAGATGAGGCAGAACGAACAGACTTAAGGGTTGTAGAGGAATGAATGTCTCCGGGGCGGGACGGACATGCTCGAGCAATCAGTATATAATCGGAAAAGCATTTCTACTCACCCCCACGTGAGTTAAAATCTCAATGCAGACCAGGGTGCTTTTTTCCGCGCTTTCCGATACCCCCGAGAACACTTACAGGTGCCTGGGTTGCTAGATATAGAAATCTAACTCCAATACAGCACCTTCAGCAGTCCCAACGTTTGTTTAAAGGGATATAGAATATGAAAATCTGCAAGTGGTTACAAGGCCGCAGCTATCGGTTTGATCACAGCATCGGAGGTAATTGCGGCCTAGGATACAGCCGTCCATTCTAACGTGGTATTGCAGCCAAGAAGCGGAGGATGTGAGGATGATTGGGGTGATGATGATCTAGCACAATGTGGGGGGGGAGACGGGATGCCATTGCGGAAGCTGAAAATTACCCCTTCGATCATTTGTAGCGCTGTGAGAGCCTGTCGACGAGGCATCCTCGAACTGTACTTGTAACGGAGTGACGCATCCATTCATCAGTTTCATTGGTCATGAAAAGATATACATTGGGTCCAAAGATTAGTCCGAGTCTTGTAGTCTATGCTAACAAACCGGCCGAGCGCAGGGAGAGAATACAAAAAATAGAAAAGTAGAACAGCATAAGAGCATAGCATATATGGCTTCCTGACCCGTCTTCTGATGCTCCATCTTTCCGACCTCCATCCGGGGGCAGCCAAAGTTGACCGCTATGATGGTGGCAGGTTCAGCCGAAGGAGAAGGTATTCCCATTCATATCCCGCCGTACCATGCTTGAGTAATCCGCATTGGGATGGAATTCCGTCCACACGCAGGCGGGGAATATGTGCTTGTTCTGCTCGTACTAGCGACGAACTAATACTTTTATCAGTGTCGGATCATCATCCCTGTTGGGGTTTAGATTGAAGCTATGGGGGGCGGGGGGGCTATAGCTGTTAAGGCAAGTGGAAAAAATAAACCGTCGGGTCCCATTGTGTGGTTAACGGCGAGGCAGTATAATCCAAAGTGCTGGTGAGCGGGTTAACAATCATCGGGGGAGGTGGTGGGAGGAGCTGGAGAAGTATGATACCTGGGGCACCGCCACTTCCGCACAAACTTGTAGTAAGTCATCGACCCACCCCCTGAGCCACTCCCTGCATCCAGGAATTCTCCTAGCCCGTTCATAAAATAGCCATACAGCCTCGCCCTTCTTGACCGTTACACCTTCTCTGGTTGGCTGTGCGACATTAGATCCTGGTAGGTATCAGCCTTGTGCCAACCACTAAAATCAGAGCATAAATAGCTCCTGGCATCATAAAAAGACAAGAGGAATGCTAAAACTCCTGATTCCCAATATTCTTGGGCAAAGCCAGAATTTCGCTCCTCAAGGTCTTGCGTTCCCGAGCCTCCCTCAAAAGAGTATTCTTCTTCACACCCTTCCGAGCCGGCAGGCCCAATTTCCCATTCACCCCCCACTTCTTCATATCATGCTCCCCGCCGCTCTTATTGTTATCCCGGCTGTTGTACCCTGTCTAATGGAGCAAGAATCGCAGCCATCATCCGTGCCACTATCTTCATCGCCCTCCCCCGCGAATGGCAACTGACCACCTTCCTGGCTTCTTCATTCTCTTGCTGCCGCTAATCCCGGTGGGCACCTCACTTGCTCTGCAAAAGGAGCTTGTGCCCCCCCCCCCCCACCCCCTGCTGGTCCGAAACGGTTGTAATTTCTCGGCGGCCTCGTGCCCCCGCAGTTCCGCCAGCTCCACACAATATTCGTGTAATTCTCTTAGATGCCCAAGGCTGACCGTTGGTGCCTTAGTCTAAGCACGTCCTCAAGCGTTTCGGTGTTGGCGGCAAACCGCGGGGGAGCGCTAGTGGCTAGGCGGGTCAAGGTGGATTGTGGTTTGAACACACTGGTGGCGTCGCTTGTTGTGGGGGGATTGTAATTGGTGTTCTAGATGATGAGATAGGGTGATGTCTCCATCGAGATGGCAACACTATGCCCAGGTCAATCCATGGATATCAAGTAATCTGGGGAACACGAACTCTACGCATGGATGGAAATAAAATATCAATGCCTTGCATGCCAGAGATATCCGAACCGGAGATTGGGGCGACTCGGGAAATGATCACCAAGAAAATCTTCACTAGCCCAATTCCGACATTTATGAAATTCTACTGTACTGTACATGGGGCTGTAGGATTATGCTCTGCTACAGTAGTACAATTTAAGGAAAGAAAATGAGGCATAATACAAATCGCCCCCCTACCACATTCCAGCAACTTTTCCCCAGCAACCGGGATCTCTGGCGGGCTTGGCCACCATAGAATTGAGAAGGGCATTCATATTGAGCAACAGTGGAAAGGAATTTAGCAGCATGATTTCTTTGAGAAGAAAGTGCAAAGGGGAAATCCATTCAACTTTCTCAAAGCTAATTTTCATATCCAGCTTTGCACTGAGGTAGTCCACCGTTCTTGTCATCCGAGTTTCCCACCCAACCTTTTTCCAAGCCCTTTGCGAAAACCTGCTTCATGGTTTGGACTACTGTATCGCAATTCCCAAAGGGCAAAAGTCATTATACATATGATAAAAGAGAGAATTAGGAGCAATGCAAAACTAAGAAAGAGACATATTCCCAACCACTGGAGGAGTATTTAGTGGCCCATGCTGCTGACACTTCAAACCCAACCCTGTCATAGACGAACTTGAATAGATGAATAGGAAGGTGGAAGAGAAGGAAAGCAGGACAATGAGAGTAGGAAGGAAGAAGTAGTAGAATGGTAAAGCAGAGGAGACATATAGGAGAGGACAAGAGAAGGGAAATGAGTCAGAAGGAAGGAGATGGGAGGTGAAAAGGATACAAAGAGGTAAATGGAGGAGGGAGGAGGGCGTTTGGTCAAGCAGGAGACCAGATCAAGGGAGGATAGTAGTTTCCATACCCCGACAGAAGTCGGCTGCTGCAGTTTTCATTATGTAAATGTTTCCTCATAATCCAACTTAGAAGTGGACTTCAGAAGCGTGATGGTGGGGTCAGTAGCCCTAAGGCATTCAGTGTCAGGAATCGAGCTTTGCAAAACTTCCTGTAGATCGGCTAAGGCAAATCTAATTTCTTTATCAAGTTGGTATTCCTCCGGGACACTGTTTCTTAACAGATCCTTCAAGGTGATCCCGAATGCATCTGGTGTGGCACTATCCTCAGGTGGAGATAGAAGTAAAGTTGTAGCACAGGATTCGGCAATGCCATCTACCACGTTGTTACCTGCTCTATAAATATGGAGGCTAGCATTAATTTTTCCAACCAATGTGCATTGTAGCTTGCCTTGCTGATTCAGCTTCAATAGCCATTCTACCAAATCATTAAGATTGGTTTTATCATCAATACTATCCAGCACACTTTTCTCAGTTGTCTGGCTGGCCCTGCTACTATTACTCAGTTCACTGTCATGATTGGTGGCAGCTCCTCTGGTTCTAGGATGATTTTCGGTAAAGGAAATGACAATAACAAGGCATGTCTCCCTGTTGGTATGTAGAAGCCATGATCGAGCATCCTGTATTAAGTCTTTATGGAACTCAGCCTACCTGGTCTCACATGTCACAGTTGGAAACCTTCTCCCAGCTGGCTTGATAAAGGTATCAGGAAGTTTTCTGGATGTAGCAAACCTACCGCCCATAAAACCTGTGAATGCTGGGAATAGTTAGTAAGATTGAACTAAAAGGTCGATGTATTGTACAGGATAGTACTTGTCCTAGAACCAATGCAAACCATCCTCTGGGCTTTAGCTCTATCAATCTTTCTGCCAGGGAAACTGTAACTGCTTGGTTAATATGTTTGAAGGACATCATGTATTGGCAGTGCCATGCATTTGATGTGAGCGCTTCGAGTAAGCAAGTTGTATTTGTACTGCAGGTTTGGATTCTCAGCAACCTCTGAACATTGGCTCTCCCAGTGGTCAAACTGGTAGTTCAAAATATTCCCTAATCACAATGTTCCTTCATTTTGTTTTTGCAGCATGAGCATCTGCTTCGGTTCCAGATCCCTTATTCATGCGGGCAATTCCATAACTGCAGCAGGCCCTTTCTTGTGAACTTGAAGCAGAGAAGGTTGATTGGTGTCCAGTAAAGATCCAGTGTCCATAATGCATCTGTTTTTTTCTGAATCAACCTGTGTTGTATGGGCTTTCAGGGAAGCATCAGAAGTTGGACTTTTTTAGTAGATGTCTTTTTTGGGGTCATTTGCATGCAGGTATGTGAGTGCCATCATTATGATAGCGTGAGACATTGAGGAGAGCGCCGGACTGCCATTTTTAACCTGAATCAGAATGGCTCTCCACTCTCCAACACTCGAGTACTCACTACTGCACCACACACTCATGGTAAATTTAGAAACAATAGTCCTTTGCTGTATAAAATTATCACTACCTGTGTTATTATGTAAAACTTGAAAGCAAATAGTGAGCTCAGGGTGGGATAGAATTTTCATGAAAAAGAAAAGAGAGGGAGAGGGAGGATACGGGACCGGAGAGTGGAAGGAGAAAGGGGAAAATACCAAAAGTATTTCCATCTTCCTCGACACGAATCCTACCTCGGCATAGCGTCATCCCTGTTGCCCAAGCTCTAACAAAATGTAAACCAGATTCATCATGTTCATATCGTGGGAATAGAAAATTTCATCCGTAATCATAGACCTGATCTTCAGCTTGACAAACGCAGCCGTACTCTCCCCGGCTGGCATGATTTCTGGTGATTCTCCACTAACCTTGTTAGCACACTAAAACCCTTCTGGGAGGTCTAGGCTCGAGAATTTTGGCGCCGTTTTGTTGAGTCCGGAACCGCTCCCACACATACGGTGCTCGTGTAATGTTACGGCAACTGGAAATTCATGGCCAGCCTCAACTC